GTGTCATTTTTGTTCAAAAACTAAACATTTTGGATGAAATCTTTTTGAAAAATTATTTTTAAAAATGCTATCTTTTCCTGCATGTTTCTCATAAAATTAGGGTCTTTAGAGAACATTTTTAGAAATATTGTTGTATGAAGTTTTCTGACAAAATGTAAATTTTTCGAGTCATTTTTGTTCAAAAAGCTAATAGTGTTATTGTTTAGGTAACTACCATGCCCTTGACAATTGAACAGAGTGGTCTATGAAACCAGCAGGTGACCTTATTTTATCTTAAAATCTTGATTATTGCAAGAATATTAAGATACTAAACACTGAAGGAAGTGAATATGTTTTTTTTTAATTATTATTACAAGAACATGCAAGTATGTAGCTTAGCCCAGGTCGGGTTTTGATGTCATAAGTGATCTATGCATCCAGATTCTTGCTACAGATAGCTGTGTTATAATGTTAAAGGGTTTCCAGCTAAAAGAGTAAAAACTATTATCTCTGTACTTTGACCCATACTACTGTACTGTGTATTTAAAAAAAATGCATTTACAAAAACAAGGCTATTTTTGCACAGAACTGTCATCACCTAGGAAATGAACCTGTAACTCAACCTTTAGAATAACAATTAAAAGTTATAATAAAGATACCCTTACTTCATTCTCTACTTAAACACACCCACAAGGCACTGCTTCTGCTCCTATACCACCAAAATAAAAGCGTTGGAACCCCACACTGCACTCAAACCTGTCAGAAGTTTAACACTGCAAAAACGGTGTTGAACTGTCGTGTCACTGCAGTCCCCCCAGTGGTTTTGAATGGTAAATGTATAACATCTAACAAAGGAAGAACCAAACCACAGAAGAGCCAAGTGTTCTCTTCACTCTGAAGGAACGATTTACAGGCTACTTAAAGATGCATTAGGTCAGGGCTAAAGGATGATATCGACTGACACAGGCAGATTTATGATGATACCCGCCGTGGGACCTTGTGATGGACTTTACGCTCAGCTAAGCGACCACTGTTTCATATCTGGTGCACATACATGACAGCCGACATACACACACTATAAATGTACCTTGACAGCAACCAGCATCTTGTCCTTGGTGGGGCTCAGGTTGTAACATTCTGCCAAGAAGACTTTTCCAAATGCTCCTTCACCCAACTCCCTCTTCAGGATGATGTCTCTCCTCTTTATGTGCTGGACCACTAGGAGGAAACAAAGAGAGAGTCATGAAAAAAACATTTGTTTACTTGTCTGTCTGTCAAATGGAGTGATATCTTTGGAACCCTCCACCCATTGTCCATTTTCCCATTACGTCTTAAAACTAAATGATATGAAACTCAGTGAATAAATGAGACTGACTGGTGGATTAGTGCTGGCTCCGCCTCTGATAACCTTGAACACAGCAGAGCAGCAGAAAACGGAGGATAGATGGACGACTGTATGGACGACCACACTGTAGCAGCTCCATCAGTGTTTACTCGCCAAACAGTACCATAGTGATTAGTTCTTTAGGCTCTGTGTCGATAAATATGCAATGGACAAAAACATTGATAAATATTTCTCTATTGAACAAAAAATTATAACATGGAATAATATATCAATAAAATTATCACTAAAAAGGATAAAATGAATACAAAATATATGTAAAAAATGTGTCATATTACTTTAAAAAAATTGTACTTAACAGTATTCCCATGTTTCAATAAACAAATGAACACACACAATGTTGTATAAATAAGTTCTAACCCAGAAATGTCTCAAATGTCATGAATGTTTGAACTGAAGAAACTATAGTTTTGGTATTTTATCCTGGTAGTGCTCAGTGCTGGGTGTCCATGGAAAATGACTCCCATCACGACAGAACAAATCTTACAGTCAGTCTTCCTCCCTGTTGTTAAAATACCTCCGCACTGCTGACACTGTTGACCTACTTCAAACAACTACCCTCCAGGGCCATGAGACCAGTGATGAAAAACCTTCACAGAGTATCGAGTCACTGTATAGACACATGTTCACGGGTACGAGTGTTTGACTGAAGCATCACACCCCCATACCTGTACTGGTATCAGTATCAGTACATCCCCAGTGTTTGCCTCGGCCTGTACATACGTTTCAAAAATGTTGTTTGTTATTTGTTGAAATCCTGAAGACACACATGCACAGTAAGAATCATTGGTCTCGCCAGGAAATAAAATCTGTTAAATGAGACTGATAAATAAATAACACACAGTATCCAGCACTGCTCTTTCATTAAAGCGCCTCCACACCTACGTACAGACACCGCCTGAAGCTGAATGGAGGAAAGAGCAGCGGGAGGACATGTTTTGTCAATACCACCTAAATCATCTTAATGAAACGTTAAATATTAACATAATGTACCAAGACGGTAGTGTTGGCAACACGTCAATGTGGTAAGTTCTTTCAAAATAAAATCTAAAAATGTCTTTTTAAGTGTTTTAAGTGATGCTGCAGCAGTAAAGAAAATATATATATATATATATAATTGGCCAGTTTTAATAATACCCAGAATATTCTCCAACCCAACAGTGGAATGGCTAAGTGCTTCAAAGATGCTGGAACTGAGCATGTGATGTTCTCCAACAAAGTGTTTGGAAAAAGCTGTTATATTTAACTGTAAAGTTAGTAGTTCAGAGAACGCTGGGAACGGCGGGGTTCATGTGGTTTAAATCTCTGAAGTGAAAATAAAATCCAAGATGTCACTGAACCTGCTGTGTTACAAATCTCTTCTCTGGATTTTCTTTTTTTTCCCTCTACTGTTGGCACTGGAACAGCACAAGTGCACATTCTCTAATGAGAAAAGAAGAGAAGAGAAGAGGGTTGTGAAGTTTTTAAGAATTGTCTTTGTGAGGAAAATAAAAAAGCAGCTTCTCAGAGAGAGAAGTGAAGAAAAAAAACAAAAATCAAAAAGGTTTTCTTGTATCTGCCTTCTTTAAATGGCCGCCATTTAAACGATCCCATGTGATCACTTAAAGTGAAGAAAGTGTCCCCATTGTCATGTTTTTATCTCTTATTTTGTGATAACAGAATCGAAACCTATTGTGCCGCCAATGAAACTAACAAAAAAGCTTCTAGTGCCGTGCGTTAACAATGATCTGGACGACAAGAGACAGAAACGGAGAGAGAGAATAAAGACGAACCAGGAGAGACGTGAGGAGATGGTGAGATATCATGTTCCATGACTGATGGATCTCAGACTGCTGGGACGCCGTTCCTCTGGAAATGATGTATGATTTATGTATGTTTTTACATAATACATTATATAATCAACATTTTAAATATTGAGCTGTTTCAGCTTTAGTTGAATATGTTTTTTGACCCTCGGAAATGAGAAATCAGAGCAAACATTATATTTTTAACCAAACCTAAATGGAAACCTGTTAAAAATATTAAACCTTATGTTTTGATCTAACAATCCTATTATTATTACTTTTCTTTTCATAAAATGGAAAAAAATATTAGAGTAAATAACTGTGCTCATGGAAACACTGGTTGCTGAAGGTTTTAGATTTAATTTGATGGTATGTAAAAAAAAAATCTTTTTTTTTTAAACGCAAGGATGTTTTGTTTTTGTATTTGTCTTAAGACTTTTTGACTTGCCCTCATCTTTACCTCAGAGAGAGCAGAACACGCCGTCCTCCAAAAGGGTTTTGTTCTTCAAGCCTCTGTGGGATTATATTGAAAACCACCACTTGTCGATTCACAGTCACAGACTTTATTTACCTAAAATTTCCCACTCTCTCCCAACGCACCTTGTGATTCATATGTAATGTATCAATGTCTGATCAATGTCTCTCGGCTGTTTGTTTATTTATTTAATGCAAAAGACTGCTGAAATGTTTCCTGATTCATAGTCACTAATTAGTACTTCAGAATCAACAGTCCACCGGTGCCACCTGCTCCTCTGACGCTGCCGTCAGACGGTTCTCCTCTTTTTAAAGCCCGTTTAAAATATCCAGAACGTCCCAGTTTTAAAGTGGATCAAGTACATGTGTCTGCAGAAACCGCTCCCACCAGGGACGTTTTCACATCACTGCCGTCAACACTTCATCCTCTGAAGAACTGCTGCTGAAGACTCGAGAAAAACATCCCTAAGTCGATAACACATGCATTCAAATTCAAACCGTGTTCAGGCTGGATTTTAATCTTCTGTTAAAGAACACAACCGCCGGAGGAGGAGAACAGACGACTATTGATAATAAGGACTTTTAGGGTTATAATTGATCAGGAAGGTGACGTCGCTCCAGACAACAACAACTGTCTCCACTTGTCTACTGAAAGGACAACAAAAGACAAAAGGATCACTGACAAATCTCCAAAACACCCCTTTAAACTATTCAGCACAACCTTCAATTTTGGTTTGAGGAAACTTGTATGTCCTTAACACAGCCAGAAAAACAGAGACGCGAAGGCTTTGAACCAGACAGTCAAAGTTACTGACAGTGTCTCTTTTACCTCACTCAACCTCAGCACAACAATCATCGTCTACTGCCATTTCCACTTAGCCACTACCTGTTAGCATTGAGTTCCATTGGCTGTAGAGAAATGATAAGTTGATACAATAAGTGACATTTAGCTGTAAAGGTTACATCTGGTGATTGCACGGCTTTTGTAGAAAGAGTGCATTAATTAATGCGATCCTTTTTTTTTCAATCCATTATAACCTTAACGCTGACTTGTACTGACGCGTCGTCTGAATACATGACATTTTAAAGGCTTAGTATTGACATCTGACTTGACTTGAAATAAATTGAAAACTGACCCTGCCTATACAAATGAAAGACTTTGTTAAACAAAAATCTTTTCATCATGTACCGTGAACATTTTTCACCACATCAAGGTAACATAAGGTTACATTTTGTGAGTGCTTTTGTATGTGCTTTTAAATTACCGCTAACATCTACTGTAGGTCCTGAATTAATACAGAAGAATGGACAATCACAGTGATCCCAGTTGTAAAACCAAATAAAAAAATGTTAATTTTAGTTAAATTTATTCTTTTTTTTTTTTTTTTACTTTTTTAGGGTCACATGGAGGAAGTGGGTGAGGAGCAGCTGTCAGCACTGATGTGGTGGGAGGCGAGGTAGACCTTGGACCGTCGCCAAGTTTGCCGCACATACATTAAGAGACAAACAACCATTTACGCTCACATTCGTACTGGTAATGCAGTAAATGTGAGGACCCGGGTCTTAGGTCTTCACAACATCAACCGCTACGGCAGAATGGAGGCACTAAATGTTCACGTTATGATTAATATCAATCTTACTTTGACAACATAAATTCCCTGCTGGAAAGTAAAGTGTAAAATATTTCTGTTCATTGCCTACTTTAATTCCCCCGCCTGCACTCCTCCATCCCTCATGATCACTCAAGGTGTTGGCCTCACTGGCAGTTGTCTGTCACGCTGATGATCCAGCTACTCAGCCTTATTCTAAGGCTCCACCCAACATTAAGTTTCTCTGGATGAAATGGCTGGTGAAATGCCAAAAATGTAAAAATGTGAAGGTTGTCATCTATCAGCAGGTGGATGGTTAGAAATGAGTTTAATGCTTGAGCACAAGGGATTCATTTTTTATTTTTATTTTTTCTCTCTCTAACTTTTCCCGCAGGCGTTCTTTCATTGCCTTACAGACCGACTGTACTGTACACGTCATTTCAGGTGATATGTCAGGGACAAATCTACATTCCTAATGCGTAATATTATGACTTTATCTGAATATTTTTGGTGGAAAACTAAGATTTTACTTTAAAATTAATATTATGACTTTATCTGAATATTTTACTTCAGTTTGGTGGAAAACTAAGATTTTACTTTTTAACTCCTAGTGAAGATCTCAACATCTTCAACTCAGAACCTTTGTCTCTAAACCGTACATCATAGCAGGTCTCACTACAGTCCACCTTTGCTTCCTCTACTTCTCGCATCTTTATCTTCACCTCGTCATGACTCTTGTTTACACACATATATTGCCTTTCCCCGGCCAAACGCCACTCCTCTTAAGGCCAAAGCTAACCTCCACCTCTCCAGGTTTTCTTCCGACTGCTTCCTGTTCTCACCACAGATGACAACATCATCTGCAAACATCACGGTCGAAAGAGCCTCCCGTCTGACCTCCTCTGTCAAGCTGTCCATCCCCGGAGAAAACCAAAAATACATCATCTGCAAACATCACGGTCGAAAAAC